CAAGGTGCAGAGAGCGGGTGGAGAGGGAGGTGGAGACTTTGTGTATCAAATAAAGAAAAGCAGTGTTTTAGAGCAGAGGTGTCCAATCCTGGTCCTGGAGGGCCACAATCCTGCATGTTTTAGATGTTTCCCTCTTCCAACACACCTGATTCAGATGATCAGGATCGTTATCAGGCTTCTTGATGATGAGCTGATTATTTGAATCAGGTGTGTTGGAAGAGGGAAACATCTAAAACATGCAGGATTGTGGCCCTCCAGGACCAGGATTGGAAATCCCTGTTGTAGAGTCACATCTAAGCCGCTGTGAGGCAGGTAGGGCTTGTTTACTTGTAAAAGGCTTGTAAATATGTAACTTTGATCCACCAAGATGAGTCTTTAGGGGTTTAATCAACCACTGAAGAGGAGCTTTAGGTGTGGCATTTACACTTTAGTGACATTTACAACAAAAGGTGCGGCAAATGTGCTTTGTTTGTTTGATCCAAGCTCATAACAAACCAAATCGACACCTTTGATTAATCGCTGCAAATAGCTGTCTTTACAGAACGCTGTGATGCAGACGTTCTGTCAACCTGCTGACACACTGACAACACGTCAGTAAATAAACGTCTGTGATTCAGTGGGGGAGCACTGAACAGGAACCACTGTCATTTGAGCTCAGGCATGGTATTTCGACTAGAGAACGGAAAAAGTCCTGAAAATCTACACTTGCAAGCGAACCTTATTACGGCTAATTTGAATTTAAGGAGAACACATTTTAAAGGCATCATGATTGCAGATGAAGTCAATGGAAAGACATGAGTGGGTGCTAATTTGTGAATATTTTCCTGTAAACCCCTTCACAGTCACTCGCCCAAATGTGGGCCAAGTGGAAATTCTGCCACCGTATTTTGAGTGTATTTTGTCCTGTATTGTGAAAGCATCACAGTTTAAATGGCATAAATCAAGATGCCAACAGCACTGCAACAGAAGCAGCAGCAATAGTTTGTTTCTTTGTAAAAAAACAGAATGTGTACACCACAAAAATGTAGTTATGTGCCCTTTCTTATTTCTGTATGAATCACTGTGTGCTGCACACTTTTTACTGTAAGAATTCAACAAACAAAATACTTCTAAGCTCCCATAAGTAATCGAACGGGAAAAGTGCTGCTTGTAGCCTTGAACAACTCTTCTCTTAAACCCATTAAGGGTTCATAGCGTTTTTTTAGCCAACTGTTTTGGTTTTCAACCTGCGACTTTGTTGTTTTGGTTCAGCTCTCGATAGCATGTTTTCAGCCAGAACAGGCTGCTGTTGCTTCCCCCAAACCCACTTATACGCCCACAAAATTAGCCACTCACTGGTGAAATTCAGGAGTTGGTGGAGACCAAAACAGAGCCAGAAGGAGAGTGAGTATGGGACTTGAAATTGTCAGGTAGCCCATTGAATGATAATGCTGCTCTTTATGTGTTGGATGTGAAAATAAGCTGCTGTTTGCTTCCTCTGTCCCCAAGAAGTACAGAAGTAAAATAAAAAATCGGCTATTTTAGGTTGTACTGATGCAACAAAATAATGATTTGCTTGAGAAAATCTGACTCATTTTGTGTGTCAGTGATTACAGACAAGGACAGAAACGGCTTATCAGTCCACTAGTCTTTGGAACCCCGTAACAGATCGGTCTACCAGAAAAAAACTATCCAATAATCTGGTTCCTCATGATCCAAGTACAGGTACTTCCAGGTTTGTCCGTCGTAAATTTGACAGTTTATATCAAGATAGAGTTCATACATGCGCTCCCCTATAGCTCACCTAGTTGAGCGGGTGATCCATAAACAGGGGCTGTAGCTCCCCGATGCAGCGGTCGTGGGTTCGACTCCCGTTTACAACCCTTTTCTGCAGATCTTTCCCCATTCTTCTCCCCAATTTCCTGTCTTTCTCCACTGCTCTAAATAAAGGCAAAAAAACCCAAATATATATATAAATATTTTTTTTCAAATAAAGAAAGAGTCCATACATTGGATTTTTTAGGACAAATACTATTTTCAGTTATTCTACTTTATAGAGTAAAAGTTGAACTTGTTCCACCCAACCTAGACTTTGCTTTCTTCTTCACTCTGCTCTTTTTCCTTTAACTGCCCACACACACACACACACACACACACACACACACACACACACACACACACACACCTTACCTCCCCTCCTCCCTCCTCGACTTTTTTCATCCCCTGCCCTCCTTCCTTCTCCTCATCAGTGGAGGTGTCAGGACTCTAACGCCGCAGTGCCATCTGGGCCGAGGCTGATAAAAGCTCATGTGCCGGTCCGGCGATGCCTGCAGGTCTGCCAGAAGCCAGCGAAGCCTGACTTTCAGAGGCGATGGGAGAGATTTGTGGCAGCCAAGGAAGGAATGGCAAGCCGTTAACGTGCTGATCCAGCCCCCACTCCGGCGCCCACCCCCCCACACCACCTCTGTCTATCTGTCAGTCACATGGCCCTGCACTGTGCTGAATCCACACCGAGAGAAGTATCTTTTTGTCAAAGGAAAACCAACACAAGAAAGGATGGCTTTTTGATCTGTGATCTCTCTCATAGCGTTTGTTTCATGTGCCACATTGGGAATGCTGCTTGGGTGACCCCTTTAGAAGCCATTCTTTCCCAAACAGAGAACTGGAACTTGGATGTCTTGAAAGATGGAGACCTTTCCACCTTAGCTGTAAATTTGAAATACACCACACAGTCGCTCATTCAAAACCTGCTTCTGGCTACGGCAAATTCCTTCTCTGTCGTCTGGCCTCAGGATAATTAGTATTTAACTTTGTTCTATGTCTGCAAAACATTCAGTGCTGTTGTAGGTTTAGGCTGCTAATTGTAAGATGTAGCTGTGCCTTCTACACTTAGCCAAAATGAGTAGTGAAGTAGGGCCAGTACGGTGGTGCAGTGGGTAGCACTGTCACCTCGCAGCAAGAAGGTTCTGGGTTTTAATCTGCTTCCTGTGACTCTGGTCTCCTATGACAGTCCAAAAAACATACATGGTAGATGTGGGTGTATGACAGACTGGTGATCGGTCTCGGTTGTACCTCAGCCCTCAGCGTCCCCCAACCCACCCTCCCATAGAAACAGACGAAGCTAATGCACAGATGTAGTAGTGAAGTAGCAATACAATGACTGTCATCCATCCATCCATCCATCCATCCATTATCTATACACCACTTAATCCTCACTAGGGTCATGGGGGGCTGGAGTCTATCCCAGCTGACTCAGGGTGAAGGCAGGTTCACCTGGACAGGTAACCAGTCTATCACAGGGCTACACTTAGAGACAGACAACCAAGCACACTCACATTCACACCTACGGACAATTTAGAATCACTAATTAACCTCAGCATGTTTCTGGACTGTGGGAGGAAGCAGGAGAACCCGGAGAGAACCCACACTGCACGGGGAGAACATGGAGACTCCACGCAGAAAGATCCCGGGTGTCCTCACCGGGACGTGAACCGGCGACCTTCTAGCTGCGAGGCAACAGTGCTAACCACTGCTCCACCTTGCAGCCCTGTTTTAAACATTTAGTTTGGATTCTATGTGTGACATCTAGATCTGAAACATGCCCCCATGGGTCCTTAAAGAAGCTCACCTACAGCTCCCAGTACTCCCTCAGGATGATGACTGGCACAACAAGCTATTTTTCCTGTAGGGACCCAGTGGTGACTTTCAGCACCAGTTACCAGGAGCTGGGCAAAGAAATGTAATTCTGCTGCCCCAACACTCCTGTAGTTCAATGGCAGGCAGACTGCAGCTTGCTTAGTGGAGCAGAGATGTTGTAGTTCTTCTTCACCTCTTAAGGGCACAGATTCCAAAGCTTCCAAAGTATGGAAGTAAAGAAACTTTCCTAAACCAGAGCTCCCAGACCTGTCAGTCTGCCTCCACATCCTCTCCAGTTGGAGAAGCAACAGGCCTGATAGGCTCCTTGGATGGATGTGGAGAACCCGTCTGGTTCTCTGCTGTGTTTCTGGGTTTCTGTCATTGGTTACAACCGTGGATGTTATCTCTCCAGGCAGTACACCACCCACACAGAGGATATGTCAGGGTTGCTTCCCAGTGTTCTCGGCCTTCGTTTTGGTCTGTCCTTAAACCCAGGGGTATTTTTAAAATGTATAGTGTCCTTCATTTTGTCCTTAGACTTGTTCCACTCCAATGAAAGGCATGAGTGACTGTTTCACCGCACTTCCTCCTCCTGTGAGGTGAATTTTTTGACTATGCATGGCGTTGAGTCAACCTAGTTAATAGGTAGACGGTCCCTGCCTCCCTCACACCTTGGATCCTACTAATCCTGACTGCTGGAAAAAAGGCACTTCTGTTCATGCTAGTCCATCAAACTGTGGTTATGGAAATAACTCAAAGACATCTGTCAGAATTTATTTTTCCATTTGTTCTTGTCATGTGTGACCTCAGTCTAAGGTCACTGTTCTGTCCATCTGTCTCTGTTAAAGGCTGCAGTACTTCATTTCATTTTAAGTTATATTTTTCAAACATGATGCTAACAAAATGGTTAAGTTGCCCAGTGTATATTCAGTATTTCCTTAGGGCATGTTTGAATAGTCCAAACTTGTTGTACAGGTGCAGAGTGTGGAGACGCATGGATCATGACCTATTGATGGAAGATGTATCCCAAGATTTTGATCTTTATCCTGGACACCTGTAGCTCTGTTTACTAAAATGCTTTAGCTGTGACACTTCTGCCCCGAAAAAATTAGTCAGAATACGATGCCAAACACAAACAGAATGCATGAAAGATGTGTAGGTTGCAATGCCAGGCCTGTGAATCTGTTTTCTTCCTTTGAGAGAGATTCTCTTTTTTTTTTTTTCCTTAATGATGACAAAATGCCTCCCACAGACAGAAAGGTGAGAGAGGACACGCTTTCGGTGTTAAGGATTACTATTAAGCTCATGGATTGAGGAATCGATGTAGTCAATGGAACGTATGACAAGTGCAATAAGGTGAACATTTGTCTATATTTGTTCAACAGGTCTGGACCTGAGGCACGCCCAGGTGGTGGCATTATCCACGGGCACCAAGTGCATCAACGGCGAGTATCTGAGCGACCAGGGACAAGTGGTCAATGACTGTCATGCTGAAGTCACAGTCCGCAGAGCCCTGCTACGCTTCCTCTACTCTCAACTTGAACTCTTCTTGAGGTAACATGTCTATCTTCTGCTGTATCTTTAAAACGCACAGACATCTCTCGACCACTGCGGTTTGGGAATCTCTGCGGTATTTACAGTCCTAATCCCCTGAAATGGCCAGATAATTCTTGCTGTCCCTAGTCAATCGGTTTTCTGGAAAGCCTGTTTTTGATAAATCAATTGACTCTATTTTTAGCTTTTTTGCTGATCACTGACACGGAGTAAACATCTGCTTCGTTTTACCAAAGAAGAGAGACCATGAAAAGTGGCTCCTTCAACTGGTTCTAAAGTTCTTCAGTTATTTAAAAGGCTGTTGTACCGTTTTTAGAGTAGAGCCCAGTGATTCCTCAATGGGATGAGACAACTGGCCTCTGAAATGATCTCCATCCAGTAGATTACATTTATTGTTTTAAAATCTAACAATAACTCAGGATAGATCAGGATCGTGTTGGTTACGACTAGTTAAACAAACTGATCAAAGAAGCATAGTGGTTCTTTACTGGGCTATAAAAAAAAACATGTAAAAATGTCCGATTGCAAGTACTGAAATGTCTTACATTTAATATTTTGTCTTTCTTAGAGATTAAAAGTTGACATTATGAGCAATCAAACACACCTTATTCATTTGAATTCAGTTTAGCAGCTACAGTCTTACTTGTTCTGGTTTGACTGGAGGAGGCAGATGTTAGCAAACAGATGCTGATGCGCTGCTGACACTCCTGAGTCACTTCCTTCTATAGACTGTAAATGAAAGATGGGGTCAGTGACTGTGGCCTCACCCACTGGTTTGTGGACTCCTGTTTCTAAGCCTCGAGTTTGGGAATTTCTTTTGAAACCTGATGCAGCAAGTAAGCGGTGGATCTGACTGGAGAACCCAAGGACTATATGCACATACAGTAGCAATCATAAGGTAGCCCCGCCCTAGAACATACTCAGTTCATCATCTATTTTACTCTAAATCAGACCTTTACAAAGTGAACATCATGCTGAATACAAGTTTAAGGCACTTCCGCAGACCTTTCACACCCTGAGACTGTGTCCGTCTTTTATTTCAAAATTTTAAAATAATAATAATAACTTCATTTGTTCCTTGGGGGCATTTTAATTCAAATACAGCCACAGACCCTGGTGGCCAGAAGTTATCTTCAGTTATCATCTAACAAGTGTGAAAAGCAAAAAATCCTCAGAATGGCCTCTTTCAGAGTTAGTGTTATGCATCAATTTGCCACAAGATTAAAACCAACTGCATTGTGCAACCAAAACAGCCGTGACTGTTCAGGTCGTGGCCACAGGAGCTCTGAGGGCGTCCTGTGGTGTCTGGCTCACATCCTGTGGGCTGCGATGCTGGACCACCATGGATTCGGCTTTCTGTCATGCATCCCTTGGATCCTCGATCAGATTGGGTTTCTGGGAGTTTGGACTCCAGGTCAACACCGTAGAGTCTTTGTTGTGTTCCTCGAGCTGCTCCTGAAAAGTTTTTGCTGTGTGGCAGGGCGAGTACTGTATCAGGTGTTAACATGGATGTCAGGACCCAAGGTTTCTCAGCAGAACATTCCTTTGTAGCAACATGATGATCCGTACGATACACCTTTAATGCTGTGGCTGATTCTTGTATACAACAGAATTCACTGATGCACAAACATTTAGGGGGCATTGTGCTGCTGGGTGGTTAATCTGCAACAAGCCACTGAATTTTATAAGATGATCAAATGTTTCGTCAGTGAAATCTTAGTAACTATAAAACAAACAAAATGAAGCTCCAGTATTTGTCTGCCATGGAGTATCCAGTCAGAAAACTCAAAGCGATAGAAGTGGTTTTATGGCATCACCCTGGTCTGTGCCTCACCACAGTTTCATCGTGGACATTACAGAAAGTTCCTCAGACTTCGTAGCTGGTTTCTGTCCTGACATCAAATGAGTTATTACAGACTCTGGTGTTTGCTTTTCTGAACATTCCAGTCAATTCAGTGTGCAGCAGGTGGACACCAGTCAAGTCTGGGACATGCCAGAAAAGGACCAAGACCACAATCCACTTTGTCCATTTAAATCCACAACACATTAAAATGTGCAAAAGTCTGAAAACTTTCTGAAGGGACTATAAGTATAAACTGGAAAACTATCTGTAAAGTTTACTCCCTAAAGAAATGTGCTTATATAATTCTAACAGTGGTTATATATCCATCTGAGCTACACTCTTGTTGGCAGGTTGCGTAGGCTTTGTACACTTTAGTTTCCAAGGTGCGTGCAACAGTTAGAGCATGCATTACTTTACATTAAAATGTGCTTAATAGCATTATTTTTTTGTTGTTGTGACCTCCTGTTGCCGTGCCAAAGATTGCTCTCTCCTCTATAATAAGCTCCATGGAAACGGCGCTGCTTTGTTCACAAGAGACTTTTCAATAATCAACGAGCCATATGTGCGCTGTTCTCTCCAGCTAACTAAGCATACTATCACACACTTAACTGGCTCGGCTCAGGGTCTCAATGGCCTATTTGTTTTTAGCACTTTTTTATCTACATTGTGTGCCTTTTGCAACCTGCACAGCAGGCTCTGGTGCACACAAACTCACCAAGCCTTTTACCAGGACCGAGAGACCGTCTTGATGAGCTTTGACTCCTCACTGCCTCCAGTGCATAAGCATATATTATGGTTTTGTGCTCCCTCAGGAACTCGATAGCAAGGCTGATGTATCAGATTAGTGGATAGAAGTCTAGATCGCTGAATGTCATATTTGCATACACAGCACTGACTTTTTGTCTTAGCACAATGCTGGATGGCAGGTACGGCGACTTTGCAGCTCAGTAAAATGGCTAATGGGCAAGATAACTCATAATGAAATGACCAAACAAAATGCCAGAACTGCCATATTTACACTCAGTGAAAGGACATCGGAGGCAGAGGAGAGGTTATATAGAGACTGCAGTCGTGCTTTGCATTATGATGCATAGTCTGAATAAACTACTGTGTGTGTGTGTGTGTGTGTGTGTGTGTGTGTGTGTGTGTACTTTACTGGTATGTGTGTGAGTGATGACGGTCTTAGATTATGTGTCACCTGATGTCACATTTTGTAAGTCCTCACCTCATTTAGTTTTTGACAGAAAAAAAGCATGAAATCTGATTTATTTGTCTTAAAAACTACGACATAAACCCATAATTTTATCACGACTCCATCTCACCATTTTTTCTTATTATTATAAAAATGTCACCATCTTTTTTATGAATCTGCGCTTGTCTGGTGTCGTCTTTTACAATACAGTACCTATTAAAAGGATTTAACATTAAATCATAGTAGTTTGTGTTTTTCCATAAGAATTTTTTTTTAAAGACTCTTTCATGTCAAAGTGAAAACAGATTTCTGCAAAGTGATGTAAATTAATTAAAAATACTAAATATAGTAATCCGGGGGTTAGAAGCTTCAGTGGCTAAGATGGGAGGGATTAAATTCTTTGTTTGCAGTCGTGGAAAGTAACTAAGTACATTTACTCCAAGTACTGCACTTGAGTATAAATTTGAGGTACTTTGAGTATTTCTATTTAGTACTACTTCATAGTACCCTATTCAGTTGCTTCATGAGTACTTTTACTTTTGATGCTTTAAGTTCATTTTGCTGCGAACACATCTGTGCTTCTACTCAAGTAAAATGTTTACTGCGAGACTTTTACTTGTGTTTTATAAAGTGGGGTTTTTGCTGCTTTTTCTAAACTACAAGACTCTTTCTGAAGGAGTTGTTTTAACCACTTGTGTGTTTTCATGCCAGTGTTACAGCTGGTTGCACCGTTGTACTGTAGCCTAAGCAATGCTTCACCACGTCTTGCCACTGTAAAAATGTGACGCCAGATATCACAGAAGTGGACGTTGCATCGTGTCCAGCTGACGTTAATTCAAACCAAAGTGTGTGCAACAGTAACCATGGGAGTGAGGACCTGGTACCAACGTCCGACCTTCTGCATGTTGAAAACTCGTTAGTCTGAATAATTCACATTTTTATCTCATTTTTTAGATTTAAAAAAAGCTAGCAGCCTTACTTGTGACTTACTTATGAAGTTAGTCTTAATAACACAAACTTAACTAATAAAAAATTAAAACTGAGTTTACTTTAGGATTAATAAAGTTTTATCTTGACTTTACTGTAAAGCTCTCCCACATCAGAACTGTAAACCTTTGATTCCAAACTACGTTCTATGTTCATTATATGTCATTTCTGATTAAATGTATTGTTCTTCCTGCTCCACTACATTTATCTGACAGCTTCAGTTACTTTTAGGATAAAGACTTTACACAATAGATAATATAACACACTTTTAAAATACAATACATAGACTGGAACAAACGTTTTTTAACCGTTCATTGTAATTTTTTTTTTCCGAACAATTTGCTGTTGTTTTACAGATTTAGAAGAATGCACAGAAAGTATTCATTTATATATTGACTGTTTAAAAAAGAGGCAAAAAGTGGTCACAATGTGCCCATCAGAAATCTTTCTTTTTTATAGGGATGTCTGATAGTAGCTTTTTTCCCAACATCCGACATGCCGATATTGTCCGACTCTCAATTTCTGATTCCGATATCAGCCTATACCGATACCGATTTATGTTTGCTACTGCAGCCACACTTGTTTACACGCTTCATGACACAGTTTGATGTCGTCGTCATTTGCACGCCGGTAAATGCCGGTAAAATCCAGGCATTATTTTATCGGTTTTCATTATAGGCAAAAAACCTGATAACGATATTGACCGATATTACATTGTTATACCAATATCAGGTCCATAATATCGGTGATATTATCTGACATACCTAATTTTTTACAAATAATATTTGTTCTTTTACAATATGTGACTATAAAATGATGTGGTTTACTATTTTTAAATCACAGGATTGTACAGTTTTTGAACATTACAGTATTTTTATTATATATATATATATATATATATTTTAGATTTTTTTTCTCCAATATAAACAAACAGACAACAAGCACAAGGACAAGAGGACCTGATGGAGTTTCAGAATATGTAAAAGAACAACAGCCATACGGGCTCATGCAGTTTAAAGCTGAGAGATGTCTGTAAAATTTAAAGAAAAACAGCCTCTCGTCCATAAGGTCCTGAATAAGAAACAAAATTAGATGAATAAAACAGAATATTACAGTTGTTTAATATATACACTGTTTCATGTTTGATTTTTCTGGTATCCTTTCTGCCAGATTTTAAATTTTTCTTCTTTTTTTTTCACACAATTTTTTTTTCCTTCAGTGTATAAAATTGAAACTAGTGGTTTCCAACCTTTGGCTTTCTCCAACCAACAGTGTGTAGTTGGGCTCACGTTTCAGAAGTCTATAAATTGTTAACAGCTCCACCAAATAGTGATTTTTTTCCCCCTCTTAACTTCCCACATGGTTTCATTTTAAATGAAACCACAACATCTCTCCAAAAATCAGTATCTTACTAAAAATCAAAGGTTAGAGAAAAAGCCCAAAAACTGACAACTAGCTTCTTTCCTCTTCCATTAATCATGTGATGAGCCCTCAGATTTATTATTGCTCTTTCTGTGTGTAAAACTGGTTGTAGAACAGCTCAAACCAGCTCCACCTGCAGCAGAAGCGTCCCGCTGCCTCGCTGATGCTTCACTGTTAACAATGTAATGGTGTCCTACACGGTAACGTATCAGTCCAGTTTATGGGCTGTGTGCAGAAGTCAGCTGTACGGACACGTAAACAGCAGCCTGTGGATGTGTTGCTTTATAATGACTGTACTGCTGGTTTCCTGCTGGGTGTGTTTGTGTGGCAGCTCAGCTCCTGTCAGACCTCACTGGGCTGTTTTCTTTATTTGCTTTCGTTTTTGCTTTTGTCTCCGTGCGTTTATCAAGTAAGGCTGGATTCCTAAAGCGCTGAGAGAAGTCAGGGTTTCTCAACTTGAACATTGTCGTGTTTTTGCCATGTCGGAGATGTGTTTCTGCCTGAGCCCCCTGAATAGCAGCTATCCAACTGTTTACTTGCAGTAAATGAATCCAGACCCATGCCACACTTTACATATTTCTCATTCTCTTATTGTGCCACATTTAATGGTTATTTGCAGCTGCCCAATTCCTCAGCTGACCTTCACGATGACAATTTCATGACTGAGAAGTATTGAAGAGCAGTAGGTTAAACTCATTCCCCCTGTTTCCCCCTGAGTTATTTGGACAGTCTGAGTAATGTCCAGGAGTCTGTCTGACAGCAGGAGAATGGGCCGTGGTCAGAGCGAGGACCAGCGTCCATCTCTCTCCGTCTCTGCCTCGCTTCGTCATTGGAAAAGAAAAGTGGAAATCTATTTCTCATGCTGTGATGAATGCTGCCGCCGTCGTTCTCATCACTCTCCTTCCTTCTCGTTGCCTTTTCTCTCCAGCAAAAGGCCAGAGGACTGGGAGGAGTCGATATTCGTGCGTCACAAAGAGTGCGGCTACAGGTTGAGAGACAACGTCCATTTCCACATGTACATCAGCACGTCGCCGTGTGGAGACGGGAGGCTCAACTCGCCATACGAAATCACCACCGACCGTAAGACACCAGGCCTCTGTTAACCACAGGTCCACTCAGATATGAACACACAGCTGCTTTATCTGTTCTCTCATTTTCCCCGTCACTCTCTGAGCTTTACATAGAGATCACTTCCTCTGGCAAATATTCTAAAAGCTCCTCTTTCTTTCTCTTTTTTTTTTCCTGCATCCTTTTCATGTCACATTCTGTCTTTGCTGACTCGATGACATTTTATTGCTTACTCACTGAAAATAAATTGTATATTCATCGAGACGGTTTGCCCAGCGTTTTTCTGCTGGCCTACGAGTTAAGAAATGTAATCTGGATGATGTTTCCCCCCCCTTCCCCTCTCAGACTGGAGCTGCTATATTACAGTGCAGCACACGGTGAAATTTTCATAAGCTCCAGCGTGGATAGGAAGAAGGAGGGAGAAAGGACAGTGCTGTCATCAGGGAAGCTTTTGAACTTTATAGTCATTAAACCTTTTAAACGTTCTGCAGGGTGCTCTCACAAATTTGGAAATTACCGAGCACCTTTTCCCGGCTGTTCCTCAACGTTTCTGAGCCGGAAGTCGGGGCTTAGCTTTTAGCTGCTGTCAGATCAGCCGTGGAGGAGGAGAGGAGGACGGGATGTTTAAGCCTCAAGAAATGAAAGGTTATTAAAACAAAAACAGCGATTATTTATGTGCATTCATCCGCCGCGTTTGAGAGACACATGCATTGTTGTTGTTGTATGTCACAGAGCAAAGAGAGCTGAGATCTGAACGTCACCACTTCACCTAAACTCCATGTTTCTGGAGGAACAAGCTCCACACAGACAGGATGTGGAGATGCTGATATAAATCCAAATACTACTGACTTTAGCTAACGATATTAGCAGCTGTAGAGGTCATGCTGCCCTGTACACCCACATGCAGACACATGAAATTGGTTTAAATGGATCATGTGCTTGTGCTCTCACTAATGCTGTTAACAGCACAAGGGCCGGTTTGTGTAAACTAAAATAGAAACTTCACTCTGCAGCAAGCTGCTTTTACATACAATAGTTATGTCTTGCATGTAAATAATGCTTCAGATATGCAGGACGTCACTTTGAGGCTTCTCACTGCAAATATCTACGATCCTTTATCTGCAACTGAAGTCCGACTGGTTGTAATTCCAGTGTCGGATGTCAGTTTAATTCAGATATCTTTCATTCTCCTCAATTTAACATCGTCCTTTTTAGATATCTCAAATTAAGCTCGAACCAGTCAGAGTGACATTGTAGATATCTGGAATTCTGCCCAGTCAGAATGTAATTACAGATATCTTGAATAGGAGGGTTGACTTGTTGCAGGTATCCTCGCAAAAAACTACGGCAAGTCGGAGGTGATTTGCTTTTCAGGCGTGCAGTCATGACGAGCTGTTTTACCGCCATGTCAGAGCAACCTCAGGCTGCAGAACAAAGCGGATGTTCCCCCTGAAACACCTTAACAACGAGCTCTTTCTGTTCCACTCCGCCGCCACAGCAGCCGTCGTTACGTCTGCTAACGCGGTTCAAATACTTTGCAGGACCGATATCCAATAGTAAGCCTCACCGGAGCAGTTTCAAGCGCAACTATTTAGAGCAGTGGTTCTCCAACTTTTTGGGCCACGACCCCCAAGATAACATAAGTTTGTGTTCGTGACCCCCCAGTTTGAATTTTTAACATATCATGAGTAATAACTTTGTTGTTGATGCATTAATGCGTTAAAATGAATGTGTTAGTTCCACAGATTCATCTCTTTACATTAACACGTTAGCTTTCTTTTGAATGAATGAATTGAATTTATTACGAACAAATGAAAGTGAAAACAAAAACAAAAAGCAAAAGAGAATAACTGAAAAAAGAGCTAAAAAGAATAACAATATCGCATCATCAAATCATAATATTAACAAGTTCGAAAAAGGAGTGGGACTTGTAGTTTTGACAGCACTAATACACATTTATTTGATAAATGTAGGCTTTATTTTTATTTTATTTTTATTTTTTTACAATGTTCTGGGGACCCCCTGAAATTATCTTGGTACCCCGATCCCCAGTTTGAGAACCACTCATTTAGAGCAATCATAAAGACATCTGCAGCTCTTATAGTGACCAGTCCAGCTGAGTTACTGACACCTCTGTAGTTCTGACTGGTCAGATATCTGGAATCCAAATGCTAAGCAGTCAAAGCTACCACGAGTCAACATGACGTTGCTGATATGTGTCATGTTAAATCCAGATAGTCAAACTCCAGGCTTGGCCGTGCTTTGTGCTCCCAAATCCAACAGCAGTCCAGTCAGATGTTCACTCCTTTAACAGCCACACGGTTCCAGACTAATACGTTTGACCTCAAAGTTAACCTCATTTAAACTTTTGCTATCATATTTGTCCTCCGCTGTAATTTACAACAAACAATAATCCTGCCAAGCGTTGCACGCCGCACATGGCACCTTATTAACATTTATATTAATATTGTTTTATTGTTTATCTGCTTACCGTAATATTAAATTCACATTTTCAACTTCTGTTTCTATTTTTCGTTATTGCGTTTTAAATGACATGCAGCTAGTTACACTCTATCTACAACAAGTAGCTGAGAACTTTGACAATGATGTGGACAATAACACTTAATATGTGCCGTTTAATGGTGCATATTTTGGTAGTGTTCTCCGAGATATATTAAATAAACGTTTCCAGACGTGTTTAACTGACTGTCTGCTGCAAAGTAGTTAATTTGATTTGGAATCTACAGAATGGACCTCGGCTGCTGATGGACGTGATTAGATCGCCGCCTTCATTATCGCCTAATTAAATTCAGTGTCCAGTAAAGTTGTGTAATAAAAAAATGAGAGTGAGCCTGTGATGTTTTTCAGTACACAGCAGCAGACACCTAATGAGGAAACACCGGAGCCACCTGCGGACCAAAATCGAGTCGGGCGAGGGGACGGTGCCGGTGCGATGCCGAGGACCCGTCCAGACCTGGGATGGAGTCCTGCAGGGCGAACAGCTCATCACCATGTCCTGCACCGACAAGATCACCAGGTCAGAGCCGTCACATGTTCCATCTGGGGTGGAAATAAGGGAGCACTGTCTTCTCCTCCCGTTATATTCTGCCTTGATTCACTTTAAATCAGGGGTTCTCAACTGGTCTCACCCTGGGACACACATTTTTCCATGGTCATTAAGTCGCGACCCAGTTTTTTTTTTAGAAGTCAATATTCAATATATTTTCCTGTGCAACATGCATTTCAGAGCATATAACCATGCAGAGTAACTGGACCATGACAACTGCATGTACAACACTGTACAAAATAAAAAAGGCCACAAAACATATTTTCACTCCATTTTGAGCAAATTAATAAGAAACTAAGGAAGACCATGACAACTGCATGTACAAACGTGAATAAAATAAATATCAGAACTACTCGAAAATAAAGTTTTGGACTAATCAGGTCATTTGTTGACGTTAATGAGGGGGGAGAGAAGAAGGAGGAGGAGGTGGGAGGAATATTCAGAGATCAAAATTGATATCCCGATTCCAGCACAGCGAACGAATAGTTGGCTATTCGGGTCCAGAACTAGCATGAAAACCCACATTTTAAATACTCTGGGTCATATTTGCGCTTTGCCATCTAGCATCCCAACATCAACACAAACTTAAAATGAACGTCAAACAAACTATGGTTACCATGCCTGTCAAAATAAAAGTTTTTTCAAAAAAAAAAAAAAGAGTCCAACCTGAGACGCACATTATATATTATTTAATTTTGACCAGCTGCCTGCAACCCACCCAGAACAGGTCCGCGACCCGCTTTTGAGTCGTGACCCACCAGTTGAGAGCCCCTGCTTTAAATCTAATCTGTGCTCCTGTCATATAAAGTTCTGTGTTTTCTCCGTGTATCGTTGATGGATGCACGTTCTATAAAAATGCTCCTTTCTTCACTGTTGTGCAGTTTTAACTCTGACTTTTTGTCCTGTTTGTGTAAATCTTAAAGCTACAATTTGGGACTTTTATGTGAATAAGATTGTCTGTCACATCCGAGTCCTTTGCCAGGCAAGTTCACACAATAGTGGTTAAACCTTTTAGAGCCAAGTTAATCTCTCACAGCATACTGGAGTTTTAAATCTGCCTTCTGTGGCGACATTCCTGCTCCGACGCACCGGTGGCGATGCGTTTTATGTCGACTGGCGGTGTCTGGTTTGCCGGAGCTGAGGAGAGGAGCGACCACAGTGACGGAGACAGAGTCCAGGAACACTGCAGATCCTCTGGTGGGAAAAAAAAAACTAGAGAGACGACAGAATTCAGTGGAAGAAATAGTCTGAAAAAGGAAGCGATTGACAGCAATATATATAACGTAAGCATGCAAATAACAGTGTATTTACTCTCACTGCCAGAAGGGGGCGACAAAAGCTCCTCGCTGCAGGTTTAATGCTGCTTTATTGACCATTTACAGAACTAATAATCTCATTATCAGTGTGAGCTCTGATGTTATTACTGCATAGATTGTGCTGAAATCCCCAAAACAAATCACCCGAGAGAGCTCTGGTCTGCTTAACTAAAGGAAGGTAAACTGATTGGTGGAAAGGTTAGCCTTATTTGAAAATTAATTGAAGAGAGAGATCTTTGTTTAAGTAAAGCATTTTAGAGCGTGCTCTGTAAATCAGGCGGAGGTTTGTCTGATATTTACCCAATGCGTCTGCGTGTGTGTGTGTGTGTGTGTGTGTGTGTGTGTGTTGCCATGAGCAGTGAGCAGTGTGTGAAGTCTTTTGTAGTCTGGGTGGCGACTATTGATTTCCCATATGTGACTTGAACAGCTAATCCAATACTAATGAATTAGTGTATTATTCACGGCTTTGTTTTAATCTGTGGATCTGTAGGGCTCAAGCTAACATATTAGTCATACATCCCTTTGCCCACTATGGTGTATTGATTTACTTACGTCGGCTTTACAAGGAACATGCTCACATATAACGGCAAGGTCGCTGTGCTGTTTTCGTTGACTCTGATCTACGTTATTTTAGTGCATCACTTCTTTACAATCTTTTTTTTTTGCCTTATATCTGCTGTTGCTGTGTTAGTACGAAGAAGATTCAATGACTCAATAATATTTGAAGACAGATTGAACGTGCTGCTGGTTGTAGTTTCCACAGCGAGAAATAATACAAAGAGGCCTGTGTGTGTCCTTATATTGTTAACTTATCATCCACATGTTGGCAGACCGGTGCGGGACAGATGGCGACGCTAAATCAGGACAGCTTTGCACTTCCGCCTCCGTTTTCGCGCTGTCTCCATGTGCGAAGAGCGGAGGCATGAGTGCATAGACGGCGGAGCTCCTTTTCGCACACAGACGCACAAATATGTACAATAACATTCACTTACGCCATATTTAATTATACTCTAAATGTGAAGCAGTGAGACGCAGTATGAGAGGTGAGAACTGACTCTCCTGTGCCTATGAGTAAATCAATATGTTATTATTTTAGTCGTTCTCACGCTGAGCTAAAAGAGGCTATTTGGTCCTTGTTCGGTTGTAGAGCATCTGTTCTGCGAGGACCGTGATCCTCGGAGAGCTACAGCAGCCTTATTAAGGGCAATGAATTCAGTTTATGAATGCAGAATATTTAAGTATGATACATCAGCAGCATCAAGGCTGCTTTAAAGAACCACAGTGTAGTTTTTTGTTTTTTCCTGACCCATGGCGGCAGCATGACGGTAAACGCTAACACACAGGGTGGCATAATTTGAGAAACTTATATCTGAGGTTTTCTGATGTTACAGTAAATCACCATAAAAGCTGCCAGTGATGTTGGATCAAGGAAGGATGTGGCAGTGATTCTACTGAACACATTGAACTGAGAAATGGTGTTTATGTGGCTAATGGATTCAACTTGTACTTTTTACTAAATTCACCTCAGAAAGAAAAGAAAAAAAAAGTGTTGAATTGCTCTTGAAGTATTTATCACAGTGAAGTGGACTGCTCATCAAATGAAGCTGCAGAATCAGACCTGTGGTGTAATCTGTCAGCAAACAATAAAGCTCAGCATGTCTCTCTGCTATTTTACTTACTTATAAATGGAGCATATGAAGATCAGCAGCACAAGACTTTATGTACTTGCCGGTTAGAAGCGTAGAAGAGTAAATGCACATGATAACTGTATCTTCTACATATTCCAGCGAGTTGGGTTGCTTGCCTATGCAACACAGAGCTGGAGAGGAAAAATGGTAAATAATTTAGAATTTACATCAATTTTAATCAAAGTTAGGATCTTTATACGGAGCTCTGTGTCCATCTCAACAGCTGTTAGTCTTGTTTGAATTCCTCCTCAACACTTCACTGAATAGATATGAAGCATACAAGTGTGTCATGATGCCTGTCACATGTTTGTAGATACTGTAGTAATGAAGACGGATCAAACTTTGGCAAAGTGAGATCTTACTACCACTGCTTAGTCATTTCTCCAACTGTTTTCACACTCTTGGTTGAATAAGGCTCAAAATCTCATATCAGCTCACAAATATCAAACTATACGACACTACCGCAAAGGTCTGCATAGTTTCCAACAGAGCACTGACGTTACATCATGAAAAATAAACATAAAATAATGGATTTGCTTTTTTCAAAAATGATTGTGAGCAAGCAGAGGTCCTGGACAGTAGTAGGCTACCACATGGAGACACCTCAGTGAATAAAACCATGACATTTATTTTCATTCTTAGTCCCATTCCATTCATGGACGTCTTTTATTTTAGTATCCCACCATCATGGTTCTAAATTCCACACAACCTCTCCAACACAATAGAGAAAGAATATCAGTGGTGCCAGCATTTTATCATGAGCTACATGTAAAAACTTCATAATACATTTTTCCTTGATATGAAGCCTATTGTAAATATATCTGGAAGTATCATCATATCAAATCATGGGGAATCTGGATAGATCTTGTAAAATAAATTAATTAATCACGTATGATTAGCCCTTTTTGTAACCAAGACTAGTGTTTACAGATAAAAGTACAAGTAGCCTGTAGGCCTCATAGCGTTTTTTGCCACAATACCATTGAGTATATGGTGGGAAATGGTGTTTTTTTTGTGGCTCATAGATTCAACTGTTGCTCTAGAAGGAAGAATATCTTGTTTCTTCTGTCAAAAGTCACCTAGGTCCACGTTTAAACAGCAGTAATGACACACCTGTGAACAAACACCGTACTGTTAGCGCATGTTGATAACTCGTTAACTACCTGTACTTTGAGGTTAATTTTTTGTGATTATTGTGAGTAGTAGTAGTTCTACTGGAGCCACACCAGCAGCTGAAGCTGGATTTAGACACAGCAGTGCTTTGAGATGTATTAGTTAGCATTAGCATGCTAAAACACACAACTCACCATAGTGAAGCTACATAATAATATTTAGTTTAACATGTTAATGAAATGAAATGAAATGAAAAATACTTTATTTATCCCAGAAGGGAAATTAAATTAAATTAAATTGACATTGGCTATTTTACACTAAACAGAAACTATGGGTGGGACATGAGGCTGTCTTTAGTTTTTAGAGTATTTGTCATGAACCGAAATCCAACGCAGTCTTATAAGTTTTTTAAAAAGTGTTTGACCTACTGGCAGCCCCAGAGCTAAGCTGCCAGCATGGCTAAAGACACTCAGTGTTTTCGACAGTAAAGACACTCCACAATAGTAATTCTTCCCGTGCACCCTTGACGTTACATTTTCTGAAATATCCGAAATCAATGTTTAGTGTAGTCTCAGTTTTTCTGCCACGACTGGGCCTCGACGGGAGCCGAAGCCATGAATTTAGCTTAGTAAGCACCGCGCTGTGCCAACTGAGCCGTGCAGGACAACAGCTGAGCGGCTGTTCTGGCTCCAACGCAGAGAGAAAGAGGCAGATTCAGCTCGGCAGAGAGCACAAGAGAAGGTGAACCCTTCTCCTGCGTAGCCGCTGTTAATTTGACCAATTTGATTCAGTTGGCCAGGGCTGGAGATGGTGTGATTAAATCTACCCAGGTCACCAACAGGGGTGAAAGCAATTACTTTACAAAAAAATAGAGTGACGGGGGAGGGAGAAGGGACACCCTGCTTTTCTTCCCTCCCGCCGTCCTCTCCCCTCCATCCCGCCAGGCCAGACGGCTTCCTCTTCCCGTTCTTTTTTTTTTCCCCCCTTTCTTTATATATCGCTGTAAATGATCGGTGGCCGTCGTTAAAGTGAGTGGGTCACCGAGGGCCAGTTTATCAAGGTCAGGAGAGGAAGGTGGAACTGAGAGGAGCTTAAGGCCGCACACTCCACACACACACACACACACACACACACACACTGCCGCAATCTTAAAGTGATCCCCTGGATACTCTTTTTGTCCTCTGTCACACTCATTTTGCAACCTCCCATTACTTTTTTATTTCCCCACTTCCTTCACTTCCTGCACTTTATTATAGTTAGTTCAGCTCTGACCAGAGGGGATATTAGGATCTTTGCTCTTATCATAAACATCCTTGATAACAGTCATCATTGCTTCACCTGATGATCATCGTTTTGTTATCTTAAGCCGGGCCCACTGAAGCTCCTTTTGCAAATATTTGATTTGAAGTCGACAGCTGGATTTAATTGAGAAGCCTAAATGGCTTTCATATAACGATGATGTTCTCCATTCCACTGCAGTTTTATGCAGATGAACACATTACTTTAATGGTCGCCGTTTACCGGGGGAGGGAGGGAGACGATAGATGGAGAGAGAGAACGAAGAGGTCTCTCCCCTCTCCTCTCTTTAGATTCACACACCCGAGCCAGATGGCTGTCTTTTCTTGCATGAGATTAGAAGATGTTTCTGATTCACGGTGTCGCTTTCTGGGTAAATTAATATTTCAGGCTAAACTATTTCTGTTTTGGCAGAGGTGGCGTGCGTGAGTGTGTGTGCTTTTTGAACAAAGCTCCTCCTCTCCGTTAGAGAGGGAAGGACAGATCTTGCCGACAGATTGCAGGTAAAGCGGAGGCGGGCGGCCGCTGCCTCGTGAGCCCGTTTAGCGATTCCCAGAAAGTCGTTGATGTTAATTGACTGCTTGGGAAGCAAAAAAAGAAGCCGTAATGAGTGATTATTAAGCCTGCGAGGGGGGGAAACAAAAAAAAAAAAAAAACACAAGCAGCCGCTGTAATTGCATCCATGATAAAGAGACATTGATTAACAAAAAGAACAATGATGTAAAAATTAGTAGCATAATGTGGAGCCTCTGATTGTGCCTCGCATAAGTTCATTAGTCCAATGCACCGGAGAGTACACAGCTCAGGTACGCAGCAGGCTTCCGCTGCCTCGATGAAGGGCAGGAATGATAATAAACACGGTAATTATCATTTTCTATCCATAAATTAGCATCTGCTGCTTAAACGGAGGAGGAGGAGGGGTTCAGCAGTAGGTGGCACATGACCAGCTGGCTACAGTAGCAGCCTGCAGGATTAGCCCCACAGTGATTTTGTGTCACTGGTGGATCTCCCTAAACAAACCCTGAGGTGACGGGCCCTCGCACTGAGCAGTCGACGGAGGCTCTCCTGCAGCCCCATGCAGTGCATTAACCTCCGTGGCACTGATGAATGCACACATGGTAATGTGTTGTTCCATGTAATGAATGCTGATGTACTGACCTTTGGCAGTGTTGTTGTTGGTGATGATGGTTTGTATCTCTGGGGGAAGAGGACGTGTGTGTGTGTGTGTGTGTGTGTGTGTGTGTGTGTGCTGTCAGTCCAGCGGCTGTTATTCATCACGTCCCACATCAAGATAATGATCAAATTGTCTCTACCTGTCATCGAAGCTCTCACATGTGTCTCTCTCGCCGCCTCCCTCGATCTACTCCGTCTCCCTTCCCCCAACTGTTGCCTTTCCCTCCTTTTTTCCTTTTCGTCCACGCCACTCATCCTCCTCTCTCCGCCTCCCTCCCCTCAGGTGGAACATCCTGGGCCTGCAGGGGGCGCTGCTCAGTCACTTTGTGGAGCCTCTGTACCTGCACAGCGTCACTGTGGGCAGCCTGCGCCACACGGGTCACCTGGGCAGAGTTCTGAACCAGCGGCAGGAGAGACTGGGCCCGCTGCCGGCGACGTACCGACGCAACCAGCCGATGCTCAGTGGTACGACACGACACAACACAGACAGCCACACATCTAACAATAAAGTAAATTACATTCTGAAATATACGGCCGGAGGGACGACTGTATGCACAGTTCAATTCATTCACATGTCCTTGCAGTATACTGAAGGTTCTGCTGGAAGTTTGGTGATATTAAAGGTTTTGCAACAGGTACAGGTCACAGAAGGAATCCCGGCCAGAAGATGAGCCTGGTATCAAAATGTAGATAGAAACAAGTCATTTTGATCAACGACCTGATGTGAGCCTTGAAGCTTTACCCAAAATGCACTNGTATTTACTCTCACTGCCAGAAGGGGGCGACAAAAGCTCCTCGCTGCAGGTTTAAAGCTGCTTTATTGACCATTTACAGAACTAATAATCTCATTATCAGTGTGAGCTCTGATGTTATTACTGCATAGATTGTGTTGAAATCCCCAAAACAAATCACCCGAGAGAGCTCTGGTCTGCTTAACTAAAGGAAGGTAAACTGATTGGTGGAAAGGTTAGCCTTATTTGAAAATTAATTGAAGAGAGAGATCTTTGTTTAAGTAAAGCATTTTAGAGCGTGCTCTGTAAATCAGGCGGAGGTTTGTCTGATATTTACCCAATGCGTCTGCGTGTGTGTGTGTGTGTGTGTGTGTGTGTGTGTGTTGCCATGAGCAGTGAGCAGTGTGTGAAGTCTTTTGTAGTCTGGGTGGCGACTATTGATTTCCCATATGTGACTTGAACAGCTAATCCAATACTAATGAATTAGTGTATTATTCACGGCTTTGTTTTAATCTGTGGATCTGTAGGGCTCAAGCTAACATATTAGTCATACATCCCTTTGCCCACTATGGTGTATTGATTTACTTACGTCGGCTTTACAAGGAACATGCTCACATATAACGGCAAGGTCGCTGTGCTGTTTTCGTTGACTCTGATCTACGTTATTTTAGTGCATCACTTCTTTACAATCTTTTTTTTTTGCCTTATATCTGCTGTTGCTGTGTTAGTACGAAGAAGATTCAATGACTCAATAATATTTGAAGACAGATTGAACGTGCTGCTGGTTGTAGTTTCCACAGCGAGAAATAATACAAAGAGGCCTGTGTGTGTCCTTATATTGTTAACTTATCATCCACATGTTGGCAGACCGGTGCGGGACAGATGGCGACGCTAAATCAGGACAGCTTTGCACTTCCGCCTCCGTTTTCGCGCTGTCTCCATGTGCGAAGAGCGGAGGCATGAGTGCATAGACGGCGGAGCTCCTTTTCGCACACAGACGCACAAATATGTACAATAACATTCACTTACGCCATATTTAATTATACTCTAAATGTGAAGCAGTGAGACGCAGTATGAGAGGTGAGAACTGACTCTCCTGTGCCTATGAGTAAATCAATATGTTATTATTTTAGTCGTTCTCACGCTGAGCTAAAAGAGGCTATTTGGTCCTTGTTCGGTTGTAGAGCATCTGTTCTGCGAGGACCGTGATCCTCAGAGAGTTACAGCAGCCTTATTAAGGGCAATGAATTCAGTTTATGAATGCAGAATATTTAAGTATGATACATCAGCAGCATCAAGGCTGCTTTAAAGAACCACAGTGTAGTTTTTTGTTTTTTCCTGACCCATGGCTGCAGCATGACGGTAGACGCTAACACACAGTGTCGCGTAATTTGAGAAACTTATATCTGAGGTTTTCTGATGTTACAGTAAATCACCATAAAAGCTGCCAGTGATGTTGGATCAAGGAAGGATGTGGCAGTGATTCTACTGAACACATTGAACTGAGAAATGGTGTTTATGTGGCTAATGGATTCAACTTGTACTTTTTACTAAATTCACCTCAGAAAGAAAAGAAAAAAAAAGTGTTGAATTGCTCTTGAAGTATTTATCACAGTGAAGTGGACTGCTCATCAAATGAAGCTGCAGAATCAGACCTGTGGTGTAACCTGTCAGCAAACAATGAAGCTCAACACGTCTCTCTGCTATTTTACTTACTTATAAATGGAGCATATGAAGATCAGCAGCACAAGACTTTATGTACTTGCCGGTTAGAAGCGTAGAAGAGTAAATGCACATGATAACTGTATCTTCTACATATTCCAGCGAGTTGGGTTGCTTGCCTATGCAACACAGAGCTGGAGAGGAAAAATGGTAAATAATTTAGAATTTACATCAATTTTAATCAAAGTTAGGATCTTTATACGGAGCTCTGTGTCCATCTCAACAGCTGTTAGTCTTGTTTGAATTCCTCCTCAACACTTCACTGAATAGATATGAAGCATACAAGTGTGTCATGATGCCTGTCACATGTTTGTAGATACTGTAGTAATGAAGACGGATCAAACTTTGGCAAAGTGAGATCTTACTACCACTGCTTAGTCATTTCTCCAACTGTTTTCACACTCTTGGTTGAATAAGGCTCAAAATCTCATATCAGCTCACAAATATCAAACTATACGACACTACCGCAAAGGTCTGCATAGTTTCCAACAGAGCACTGACGTTACATCATGAAAAATAAACATAAAATAATGGATTTGCTTTTTTCAAAAATGATTGTGAGCAAGCAGAGGTCCTGGACAGTAGTAGGCTACCACATGGAGACACCTCAGTGAATAAAACCATGACATTTATTTTCATTCTTAGTCCCATTCCATTCATGGACGTCTTTTATTTTAGTATCCCACCATCATGGTTCTAAATTCCACACAACCTCTCCAACACAATAGAGAAAGAATATCAGTGGTGCCAGCATTTTATCATGAGCTACATGTAAAAACTTCATAATACATTTTTCCTTGATATGAAGCCTATTGTAAATATATCTGGAAGTATCATCATATCAAATCATGGGGAATCTGGATAGATCTTGTAAAATAAATTAATTAATCACGTATGATTAGCCCTTTTTGTAACCAAGACTAGTGTTTACAGATAAAAGTACAAGTAGCCTGTAGGCCTCATAGCGTTTTTTGCCACAATACCATTGAGTATATGGTGGGAAATGGTGTTTTTTTTGTGGCTCATAGATTCAACTGTTGCTCTAGAAGGAAGAATATCTTGTTTCTTCTGTCAAAAGTCACCTAGGTCCACGTTTAAACAGCAGTAATGACACACCTGTGAACAAACACCGTACTGTTAGCGCATGTTGATAACTCGTTAACTACCTGTACTTTGAGGTTAATTTTTTGTGATTATTGTGAGTAGTAGTAGTTCTACTGGAGCCACACCAGCAGCTGAAGCTGGATTTAGACACAGCAGTGCTTTGAGATGTATTAGTTAGCATTAGCATGCTAAAACACACAACTCACCATAGTGAAGCTACATAATAATATTTAGTTTAACATGTTAATGAAATGAAATGAAATGAAAAATACTTTATTTATCCCAGAAGGGAAATTAAATTAAATTAAATTGACATTGGCTATTTTACACTAAACAGAAACTATGGGTGGGACATGAGGCTGTCTTTAGTTTTTAGAGTATTTGTCATGAACCGAAATCCAACGCAGTCTTATAAGTTTTTTAAAAAGTGTTTGACCTACTGGCAGCCCCAGAGCTAAGCTGCCAGCATGGCTAAAGACACTCAGTGTTTTCGACAGTAAAGACACTCCACAATAGTAATTCTTCCCGTGCACCCTTGACGTTACATTTTCTGAAATATCCGAAATCAATGTTTAGTGTAGTCTCAGTTTTTCTGCCACGACTGGGCCTCGACGGGAGCCGAAGCCATGAATTTAGCTTAGTAAGCACCGCGCTGTGCCAACTGAGCCGTGCAGGACAACAGCTGAGCGGCTGTTCTGGCTCCAACGCAGAGAGAAAGAGGCAGATTCAGCTCGGCAGAGAGCACAAGAGAAGGTGAACCCTTCTCCTGCGTAGCCGCTGTTAATTTGACCAATTTGATTCAGTTGGCCAGGGCTGGAGATGGTGTGATTAAATCTACCCAGGTCACCAACAGGGGTGAAAGCAATTACTTTACAAAAAAATAGAGTGACGGGGGAGGGAGAAGGGACACCCTGCTTTTCTTCCCTCCCGCCGTCCTCTCCCCTCCATCCCGCCAGGCCAGACGGCTTCCTCTTCCCGTTCTTTTTTTTTTCCCCCCTTTCTTTATATATCGCTGTAAATGATCGGTGGCCGTCGTTAAAGTGAGTGGGTCACCGAGGGCCAGTTTATCAAGGTCAGGAGAGGAAGGTGGAACTGAGAGGAGCTTAAGGCCGCACACTCCACACACACACACACACACACACACACACACTGCCGCAATCTTAAAGTGATCCCCTGGATACTCTTTTTGTCCTCTGTCACACTCATTTTGCAACCTCCCATTACTTTTTTATTTCCCCACTTCCTTCACTTCCTGCACTTTATTATAGTTAGTTCAGCTCTGACCAGAGGGGATATTAGGATCTTTGCTCTTATCATAAACATCCTTGATAACAGTCATCATTGCTTCACCTGATGATCATCGTTTTGTTATCTTAAGCCGGGCCCACTGAAGCTCCTTTTGCAAATATTTGATTTGAAGTCGACAGCTGGATTTAATTGAGAAGCCTAAATGGCTTTCATATAACGATGATGTTCTCCATTCCACTGCAGTTTTATGCAGATGAACACATTACTTTAATGGTCGCCGTTTACCGGGGGAGGGAGGGAGACGATAGATGGAGAGAGAGAACGAAGAGGTCTCTCCCCTCTCCTCTCTTTAGATTCACACACCCGAGCCAGATGGCTGTCTTTTCTTGCATGAGATTAGAAGATGTTTCTGATTCACGGTGTCGCTTTCTGGGTAAATTAATATTTCAGGCTAAACTATTTCTGTTTTGGCAGAGGTGGCGTGCGTGAGTGTGTGTGCTTTTTGAACAAAGCTCCTCCTCTCCGTTAGAGAGGGAAGGACAGATCTTGCCGACAGATTGCAGGTAAAGCGGAGGCGGGCGGCCGCTGCCTCGTGAGCCCGTTTAGCGATTCCCAGAAAGTCGTTGATGTTAATTGACTGCTTGGGAAGCAAAAAAAGAA